ATCTCTTTTAAAACATTTTTTTGTTCATGTCAAAACACAATTAAATTATAGCATTAAAGCACTCCATACCGATAATGGATCTAAATTCTTCTCTAAGCATATTGTCCCTTTTTAAAATGAACATGGGATTGTTCATCAGCATAGTTGTGTTGGAACTCTCAAACAAAATGGAGCAACAGAGCACAAACAAGGTCACATCTTAAAAATTGCACGAGCATTACGATTTCAAGCAAACATACCTTTATCTTTTTGGGGGGATTGTGTTCTCACGACCACTTACTTGATAAACGGACTTCCTACTCCAAAACTTCAAAATAAAACACCATATGAAATTCTTCACCATACAACACCATCATATGACCATCATAGAATTTTTGGAAGTTTTTGTTATGCCACCACTCTACCTTTCTCTAGAGATAAATTTGGTGCTCGAGCAAAGAAATGTATTTGTGTTGGTTATCCTTTAAATCAAAAGGGATACCATTTATATGATCTTGATAATCATCAATATTTGGTTAGTTGGGATGTTATTTTTTATGAACATATTTTTCCCTTCAAAACATAGCTAGCTCTAACCAATCCAACCTAATTCTTCCTTTACCAAGCATTGACTTATTGCATCATTCATCCACCCTATCACAAATTGTACTTTTAGTTGATGATCATCCTACTTTATTATAGGGCTCATCTAATCGCCATATAGATAATTCGGATGAGCTCCTTAATACTCCCACCTCTCCTATAGCCCCGACTCGATCACAACGAATTTGGCACCCGCCAACTTATCTAAAGGGTTATTAATGTTCTAATGTTCACACTCGACCACTTTTATCGTCATCTCCACGATCGTGTACATAGTATCCTATTTTTAATGTTTTTATCTTATAATAACTTATCTCTTTCATATCTCTCCTTTGTATCAAGTGTCACCCATGTTGTTGAACCTAAGACTTACTCTCAAGCTATTAAAGATCCAAATTGAAGAGAAGCCATTGATGCAAAACTACGAGCTTTAATTACAAACAATACTTGGAACATTGTTGACCTCCCTCCTCATAAATCTCCAATTGGTTACAAATGGGTTTTAAAGGTAAAATACCAATCTAACGGCTCCATTGACTCGGTATAAGGCATGACTTATTGCCAAAGGTTATACACAACAAGAAGGTGTAGATTTCCATGACATTTTTGCTCCTATGGCAAATATGACCACCGTCAAATGCCTTTTAGCTATTGCTTCGCAAAGAATTAGGCTTTACATCAACTAGATGTTCATAATGCCTTTCTCCATGGTACCTTGATGAAGAAATCTACATGCCCCTTCCACCGGGTGTCTAGGGTAAAGGGGAGCATTTAGTTTGCAAATTGAATAAGTCCTCATATGACTTAAAACAAGCATTAAGACAATGGTTTGCTAAATTTTCCTCTCGCTCTTTTATCATATGGTTTTGTTCAATCTCGTTCAGATTTTCTTTATTGACTAAATCTTCTTCAAGTGGTTTTTTAGCCATATTTATTTATGTGGATGATATGGTTATTATTAAAGATAATCCTACTCTAATTGCTTTTTGAAGAAGAAACTTCATACATAATTTCATCTTAAAGATCTTGGCAATCTTCGATATTTTCTAGGGTTGGAAGTAGCCTGTTCCAAGTAAGGGATTTATTTGTCACAACGTAAATATACAATAGAGCTATTATCTAACATAGTAGCTATTGGGTGCTCGTCCATTCTATGTTCCGATGGAGCAAATAACTAAATTTTCACGTAACCGATGGTGAACTCCTACATGATCCATCTAAGTATAGAAATTTAGTTGGTTGTCTTATTTACTTGACGATTACAAGGTCGGACATTACTTATTCGGTTCATGTCCTTAACCAGCTTTTAAGTCAACCTCGCAAACCTCATATGGAAGCTCGCTCTTAGATTAGTACACTACTTGAAATCTGCTCTTGGATGAGGCATTCTCTTTTCATCTTCCTCTCGATTTCAAGCTACAAGTTTTTAGTGATACGGATTGGACTAGTTGCTCGGATCCTCGTCGCTCAATCACGGGATTTGTGTTTTGCTTGGTTCATCACCCATCTCCTAGAAAAGCAAGAAACAAAATACAGTTTCTTACTCTTCTGTTAAATTTGAATATCAAGCTATGGCTTCCACTTGCAAAGAAATTTTATGGCTTCAATCTTTGTAATAGGATTTAGGCATTCATCAATGTACTCAAGCTTTTCTTCATTATGATAATTAGGCAACACTTCACATTGTCGTGAATCTAGTTTTCCATGAAAGAACTAAGCACATTGAAGTTAATTGTCATTTCATTCGTGAGAAAATTCAACAAAAACTCATTCATTCTTCTCATATTCCTACTTCACAAGCAACTAGCGAGATATCTTCACCAAACCTTTAGGCAAGGAACCTCTTCACCATCTTCTTCGCAAGCTAGGTGTTCATGACATTCACGCTCCACCTCGAGGGGTAGTGTTAGACTTAGAAAATATTATCTCGTTTTCATTTATTTACTTTCCTTATAATCTCTGATTCATTTTCCTTGTACATAATTGTAATCCCTTAATTTCAGTTTGTAATCCCATAGAATTAGGATAGTGATTCCATTGATTTAGAACATACGATGACTAATGCATGTATAAATATCCTCGCTTATATTTTCTTTATGCACGAATACAATTCATTCTTCTCTTAAACATGACAGAGTTAATAAAATTCTTCATATAGAAAAAAATTACAAGTTGGCGCAACTTAAACGAGTAAAGATTAATGTTTATATACACAAATAGAAAAAATGGATAAGTTTGTACAAAAAAAAAAAAAACTAATAATGGGGTTCACATGTCAATGCCATGTATGCGGTCAACAATCAATTCAACATAAAGTCAATGGGAGTTAATGAAAACATTCAAATAGAAAAAAAATTACAACTTGATTTTCTCAAATGACAAAGATGAAAAAGCACACACTTAATTAGAAAAAAATTAACAAATTAAAATACAAAAAATATAATTAACTTTATGAAGAAAATACATCAAAAAATTTTACAAGTTGTGAAGAATTCGCCGTGATATATCCGATGCATGGCGGAATCATGGGACATCAAAAGTGGGAAGTTGAATCGGATGGGAGAACCAATTTGGCAATAAGACTCGGAAAGAAGATCACCAAAGAAGGGCTTTTTCTTAACAAACGTTATCTTAAACGGTTAGTTACTCAAAACTCTTTAACAAGCGTGGCATCTCCTCTTGTGAAAGAGGCTCTAAAACCTAATAGAATAGCGGCCGATTCACAGTTGGTCGGGGATACAGAGAAGCCAGCAATATTACGGATCAACTTAATTAATTTGATTATATCCGAAAATCGAGGAAAAGACGAAAAGAAGGAAGGAGACAAGCTAAAGGTATCAACACCAATGAGAATGGTGAAACGTCGGTAAGAAACCCTTGCTTTTGGGGTAATAAGTTATCATCACCGGCTATTGAATACCCGAGTCTTGCAATAACCCTTTCCACTCTTACTATTCCCATGTGAGAATACGCTTTGGTAGCAGACTTACCAAGATCATACTTTGAATGTAGCAAACATGCGAGACCTTCGTGAGAGATACCAAAAGTCTTCAAATGCCATCGAATAATGAATTTTCAAGATAATCGAAAAAGGGCTTCGCCACCGTGGACCAATGCATATGGCCTTGCCCTCGCGAGAGTGTGGACCGAGGTACGGTATGCCCATCGGTGGTAAGCCTTTCGACGTAGTAATTTAGAAAGTGAGGATTTAGACAACTTGTTTGGCTTTATTGAAGCCTATCTCGAGTGCGGGAGGGATAGAGAATGTAGATTGTAAGCTCTTCTCCTATCTTTGGGTTTGCAGCTTCGAAAGACGAAGACGAGGAGTTGAAAAGCTAATTCACCAATGAATGGATCGAAGAACTAAGACTTTCCTCCTTTTAACGCTTAGCGACTTATTATAATTCTTCTTATCAAGAACCCTAGCTAGTTCTTCTTGAGAAAAATTTTGCAAGTTTTTATTTATTTATCACTACCATTTAAAAAAATATATATTCATGTTAGTTATTTTATTTTAAAATTTTAAAAATTAAAAATTAAAACATGATAATCAAATTTTTTGTTAATTTACACAATAATTTTTTTTTTGGTTAATTTTTTACTTATTTTTTGCTTTTACCAACTAATTGGCTAATATCGTAATGACCATGTGGATTTTGTAAAACAAAAAAAAATGATGTAATAATATATTCTATAAAGGATAAAGTGATGGATGTATTGATGAATTACTTTTGATGGTATTACATGTGCAATTTTTTAGGCATGATTTTCTATTCTAGTTTTCACAAAAGTTTGAGTTTTAAAGTCCGGATTTCCTTTTCTTTTTAAAATAAAATAAAAAATTAGCTAGCAAAAATAAAAATCCGTAAGAAATAGAAAAAAAATCCAACATAGATAAATAAAAAATTAACCAATTTATTTTAATTTAAAATGAAATTAAAAAAAAAACCTTTTGTCTATGTGAATAAAAAGATTGAAAAAAAAAAAGACTGGCCAAGATAAATAGATAAGAAGCACAATAATTTTTCTATATTTTTTTAATTATTTTTTCTTGATTTTCTTTTTAAATTGGAATCAATAGAAATTTGAGATACATTCATCCTTACTTTTGGAAGTTAAAATTAATCAAAAAAATAAAAAATAAAAAATTAGTTTGGCCATAAACAGAAGAATTAAACTCGCACCAAACGACATGGTGTTAATTGTCAAAAATCAATAACATCGGACTTCATTTATATGGAAATAGAAAAAAGAGGAAGAAGAAAAATTGGCGGGAAGGATGGGAAAGTGGCACCCATGTAAATAAATAGCCTAAAGCTTCTTTAAGACGCAAATCACAGAGAAAATGTTTAAAACAGGAAACGCAACTCCCACATAGCAGAGGCAGTGACAGAGAAAGAGAGAGAAGAAAATAAAAAATGTACGGAAGCAGCCAATTCGATGGAAGCGCAGCTGCCTTCATGGGCGGCGGATTCATGCCTACTCAAACCGCTCAGCCTCCTTCTGATTCCTCCTCCTTCTCTATATCCAAAGTACCTTTTCGTTTCTCTTCTCTTTTTACTCTGTTTTACTTCGATCATCAAAATATTCACAATTCTCTAAATTCATTTTTTAAACGAATGGTAAATTAGAATTTTGGTTTATGCTTTCAATAAACCTAGGAAAACAAGCGAAAATTTGTAGTTTGTGGGAGCAGAAGAAGATTATTAGGGTTTTACTTTTTATCTTTTTGAATGGCAGAATCGGGAGGCGCGGTGCTTGTTTCCGCTGACTGTGAAGCAGATAAACAGCCTAGCAAGTAATGATGAATCTAATTTCATCATTGATGGTGCTGAAGTTAACAATGTAATGTTTTGTTTTACCACACTGCTGGGATTTGGGGTTTTTCTCTCTTGTTTTTTTTTTTTTTAATGGGATTATGAGTTTATTAATTTATGTTTAGGTCACAATTGTGGGGAGGGTATCCCACAAGGAAGACAAGACCAGCGAATACACTTTTTTAGTTGATGATGGAACTGGACAGATTGAATGTACCAAATGGTGAATTTTTTTCTCTCTCTCTTTTTTTTTTTTTTTTTTTTGTCTGGGTTGGGGAAGTGCATTCTGGGAGTTATTTAATGTTCAATTTGATTAAGTTTTGTGTAGTGTTTAAATTAGTAGTATTGTGGCAATAATGCAATTTTTCTTGTGTCACACAGGGTCCAAGAAAGCTTAGATACAGAACAAATGGGGGAAATCTTGTATGTTTTTGTACTGTAATCATACAATGCCTGCTTGTCCTTTCATTACATTCTGGTTGCTCATAGCTTAGCCTACTTATCCTTTCTTAGAATTCTGGTTGCTCGTAGCTTAATTGATAAATCTATCTTTCTTTTGATTGAATATAGTTTTCCACTCCATTATGTTTGTCAATGAAAGGATTGTGTATGTTGGATTGCTGTGATTTTATTTGTGTGAGGAAATCAGATGGAATCTTGGAAAACTACTATATGTTTGCTTGGAATGGAAATTGCTGTTGTAGGATGCCAAGTTTTCTTTTGATTTCCTTCAATCCTTAGCAACCAAGATGAGCATGAAGGGTTTAGATTTTTTGTGAAATAGTTTTTTAACACCAAATAGCTTTTACCTCAGTTTTTTACGTTTAAATTAATTTTGTTTTATACTATTTTAATTGCTGTTTTTCACTATAGAGTTGGCATGTATGTTCGTGTTCATGGACACTTGAGAGGGCTGCAAGACAGAAGGTTCTTAAATGTCTTCTCCATTAGGTATGTATTTGTGTTTCCTTTTCTTTTACGTTTGTTAATTTATTTATTTATTTTTTTTTTAATGAATAACGGAGAAGGTAGACCTGCATCCTAGCACAGAATGCCTGTCACTCTCTAGCTATTTGGTTACTCTTAGATAAGGTATAGGCCCTTAAATTCTCTACTATTATTTGATTATTATATTTCTAAGTCAGTCATCGCTTGAAATCCTGTATGGTTGCTTTGTGGGTCTTACACTTATCTTTCTACTAGCTACTGAGAATGTGTGTTTAACTAGTAGTCTTTTTTATTATTATTATTACCTCTATTTATCTTCCAACTGCACAACTTGATCTATGTAATAATTTTCAAATCACAATGTTAAGCTTTTCGAGACTATCCCTAAAAGTTCTTTCCTAGCCTAAGGGTAGTTGCTTTGAAAAAATTGGATAACCTGCAGTGTAATTCTCTAACCTAAGTTTGGAACCATCTTTTTCTGATAATGGCTTATTGTGGGTCCTTCTAAGGGATGTGTTGACCTTTTGAGCTCATCTTTTCCCCTTTTTGACTTAAGTTTGCATTAAAATGGCATGTTTTTGTTTGAATGGACGAGCACAGAAGAGCAATAGCATTTTAAGCAAACTGTTTTACGTTTGCGTTTCTTTGAAGATAATACCCTTAGTGTTTTCCTTATCGAGTTTCTGACATCTGTATCTAATGGAATACCCTTTAATCTTGTTCAAAGAAATTTGGAGGCAACCAGATACTCATTGACTTATCATTCTTTTTTTGTGCAAATCATGCTGAATAAATGATTATTTGTTTGCCGTACAATTGCAGAACCAGCATCTGAGTCTCTTTGTACGAGTTTGATCTTGTGCATGTTTCACCCATTTTACCCGACTTGCTGTTTTTCATGGATTTGCAGTGAATCAATTTTACATATGCAAATTATTTTCATGCATCGCATGTTATGGCAAGCGGAGTTTTATTCAGTTTGGTGCAAAAAAGCAAAAATCTAAAAGCTTCATTATTATTCTCTCGCATGTATTAGCTGCGTGTACTTTTGCATCAGTAGCTATGTGGGAGAAGTCTACTTTGTTAACATTACCTGTTCTCAAATCTGTAATGGCAGCATTTGTTTGTTATAAGAGAGTTGCAGTGCCTGTAGATAAAACAATGATGGTTGTTGCATTAATGTATTACTTTTCCCTTGCCATCTGTACTTTCTTCAGGACCTATTGTTTTACTCGACCTTCCTTTTCTATTGTTAGGTTGGTGTGAGGTTGATGTTGTTCATTTCGGAATTTCCTTTGGAGACATGAGTTCTCATCTCTGAATTTTACCTATGAACCACAGATCTCTTCCATTTTTTTTTTTTTTTTTAGAGGAGCGTAGAATTGGCAACATCATATACTTGAGAGGGTTTAGATTTATTTTTATTGCAATTATACTGATGCTAGTTGATTGGTAACTCTGTTCTTGGCTACCCCATCTTAAGCTGTGTGGTTAGGTGTCTTGATCAAGCAAATATCACATTTCTGGTCTGAATGCTTGGTTAAGCTTTGAATATCCTTAGCATGGTGTTCTCAGTTGTTTGCTGTCAGAAATGTTGTTTCCATTTTAATTTTGTAGTGGCTGACTATGATTGGTGTTGCTGCCTTTGAATATGTAGTCTGGCAAACGGTGATAAACTGGTGGTTTCACAATCTGTACCACTTCAACACTATTCTTTTGGCTCTCAGAACCACTCAATGTTTCTCATTTTAAAAATCTTAAGTAAAAATATTATATTTTTTCTTCTAAAAATCAAGGTGAAATACTTGTGTTTGTTAGTATTAACATCCATGGACAAGAGATTAGGCTCTCAGAACCTCTAGATGTTTCTCATTTTAAAAATCTAAAGTAAAAATATTATATTTTCACTTCTAAAAATCAAAGTGAAATGCTTGTGTTTGTTAGCATTAACATCCATGGACAAGAGATTACCTTTCTGGACTTACTTCTTCATGGCTTAATTTCATTTATCTAAATTTCAACGAAAACTGTCTGTTTTGACAGACAGCAGGAAGCCATTGTAGCGACACTTTTGTTTGTCTTGAAGTATTTGTGTGAACAAAACAACCAGCATTTTATGTTAATTTATGCAACTGTTGTTTTTCTGACCATTAATATGACAATCCTCTTTTAGTGTTTTAACTTCAAACTTCGGCTGTGGTTCTCAGGCCTGTTACTGACTTCAATGAGATTCCAAGCCACTTCATTGAGTGCATATATGTCCACTTCTACAATACCAGGTTACGGGTATTGGTCTAGTTATTGCAATGATGCTCAAGTTTTTTTGTTTTTAAGTATGATTTTTTAATTAATATGATATGGTAGCTTTGCTTATGTACTGCATATTCTCACTGAATGTGACCCTATGCCACTAAATTCAGGGTGTCACTACTCAGCCCCCAGTGGCAAATTCAACAAGTACCCCTTTGAAGGGATACCAAGCTGCTCCGCCATATCAAGTAATCAATCTCATCCTGAGAATATTATCTTGCTGAATTGTTGAGTGGTCTTTTTATTGGTGCTCAACTATTATTTTTTTCCCCCAGTCGTCTGCCTATTCCAGTGCCAGTGGACTGAACAATGCTAGTCAGATGATATTAAATTTTTTGCAGCAACCTGTGTATCTGTAAGTTACATTTGATACCCTGAAATTATAAAGTGAAACTTTTATTTTAATGAATGGGACCCAAAGATGTGTGCCGAACTTCCAATGTAGCTGGGTATTCATTTCCTTTTTTGGTTAAATGTGACATGACTCAACTCTGAAACGAGTTTTGTTCTCTTCTTAGTGTTGAACTCTCATTAGGGAACTTTTTTCATATATTTCTGCTTCTATTTGCATGCTGCTAGTTGCATATTCAGTTTAACCTAGCACATCATAGAAAATTCTGGATGTATTCTCTTGTCAATTGTTTTACTTTTGAAATCTTTAGTTGAACACTTTAGCAGTTGAACTTACTACCAGGACAATCTATAGCCAAGCAGTCAACTGGTCATATCTACAATAGGGTCCATGATAACTAATGTAAGGAGAATAGTTTTAGCCTCATTGGCAACATTCAACAGTTACTATGACTCCTTTCATTTCTCCTTTTTCCTGTAACGCATTACCACATAGAAAAATTATCTCTGGTTACAATTTGCAAGAAGCAAATGCAGAAAAGGGACGACATGCCAATCCTGAATCAATTAAGTTCCCAATTCAGACAACATTCAGAATTTTTTTATCTGCTCAAATGCACAGCCAAGTACTTGTGTGTGTAATCTATGCAAAGCAAACCTGAACATGTCTGTATGCGGGCATGCGTTGTTTGTTATGCATGCTTTTTGGATGTTGACAATTTTGATGCTTATATGGGATCTTGGACTAGAGGCACTGTGATTCAGCGCTCTAAAGTTTATCCAATGTTCAAGCCTTGTAAATATTCATGTATTTGCTTTAAGCTCCGTATTTATTGTCTGAGAACTTTGACCCATTGTGATCTTCAATTCTCTAGCACCACTGAGGGAGCTCACTATGATGCCATTGCCCGTCAGCTAAACCTTCCAACGGATAAGCTCAAGTCTCTCTCTCTCTCTCTCTCTCTCTCTCTCTTACATGTATGCTTTCAGAGGAGAATTTGCTAACATCATCCTCCTTGGTCTTTGACAGGGAAGAACTACAGATGCTTGTTGACAATGGCCTCGTTTATACAACGATTAATGATGATTACTATAAGTCTACAGTTAATGCTTGATGTCTAATATGCTGTGTTTATGGTCATGCTGCCTTGTAATATTCGGGATTTGTTTCACTAATCATTCTGAGCTAGGTAACCTTGAGTGGGGTGTTATCCACTGTCAATTAACTAATGGATCGTTGGGAAAAGTAGCACACTTTGTTCAAGGTTGTTCATGGAATGTTTTACCGCTTGTTTATATGAAATGAAGTACTGCTCTTAATATAATAGTTAAATACTTCGTTTTCTCCCCAAACATTCACAGCAATGCACCCGTTTTTTGTACACGTCTACCTTCGAATGAAGTTCTCCCAAGTTTTGAAGCACAATCTTGGTATCAAATTCTTTATGTCCTTTTTTCTTTTACTTCATTTGATTGCAACTTTTTTGTCAACGTGTAAAATTTAAATATTATAGTTGTATTTGTTAGCGGGAGTTTTGCCAATAGGTAGAGTTTAAATCTTAGAGTTGAATTTGTTAGAAAGAGTTAAATTCTATCATTTTTTTCAAATATAATTAGTCATATCTCTATTGTAAGGTTGGGATTAAAAAAAAAATTATAAAGGAGAGTCTAGGGATGGCAATTTGCCTCGTTTCGTTGAAGCCCCGCCTCGCTCTGCCTTGCTCCAGATGGTATTCAAAATTTCGTCTCGAACGGGACACGGAACGAGAATGAAGTAAAATTTTTTGGGGCATGTGGGGACGGAGACGAGGATGGGTATGGCTATCTCAACTCCTGTCTTGCTATTTTGCTTTTAGAAATGACAATTTAACGAGGCCTTATCCTGTGTAGTCCTGTTTGGGATAGGGATGGTACTTAAAATTTCGCTTCGAATGAGGCACGGGACGAAAATGGAATAACAGTTTTTTAGACGAGTTGGGGATGGAGATGGCTTTTTCCGCACCCGCCTCGCCCTATTGCCATCCTTAGAAGAGTCTTGAGCTACAGAGATTTTCTAAATTTTCACCCTAATTAGTCCGTCTCCATGGATAATGGCATTTCGTTTTATCGGTACTTTTAAAAAGAGCTACGGATGGAGCCTTGTGTTCCAGTTCCAGTCTTCACAAATGTCAATGCATCGCTAGCAATTGGTGGGGGGGGGGGATCCCTATCACAAGAAAATAGTATTCCTTCGAAAGACTTGATAAAATGAGAAATATCCGGCCCAGCTAGTAAGAGGCCGGTTGGTCTTGAGCACACCAACCCGTGAAAAAAATTAAAGAAGAGCCCAATAAATAATAGTAGGATAAATTGTTTTTAAAGGAGCACAACGCATTTCTTGAAGGCCACACGTGTGAACTGATTGGGTTTTGCCTAATCACGTGCACTCACAATCCCACCGCCCACTTATGTAGCCCTAACCTCGGCAACCGTGCAAGTTGTTGTTCTAATTGAGAGAGGGCACGTGCATCATTAGCCCATATCTTTGACCACCCTCAAAACACATTGTTTAACAGTAGCTTGATTAATTACAGCAAGTGACAGCCTTTGTCTTATTTCAGTTGTCATTAATTATTTTCAATAAGACCTTATTTTATTCCCTCGGCTAGACTGTAATTGTAGAATCATGGAGGGTAAATACATGTCTTATCAAAAATATTTAAAAAAAAAAAAAAAAAAGGTAAGGACATTGGCCTTTGAATAGACAATGAGCCTAATGAGGCACTACAAATTATGTGCCTGCCGATGAGCAATGTTACACAACTTCAATCAAAGACCAATAGATCTTTTTTTCGTTTCATAAATTAGGAATCCATTATAGGAGTTAACTCCTCTGTTACTATTTTTTTTTCCTTTCTTCATATTTTAGTATGATCAGGAAATTATTAGTTTTTTTTATTATTGGTTTTATCCATAATCCTCAATAATGGATAACTTTGATAAAATAATTTGTTTACGTGAGGAATTAATATTTTTATTTTGACTTTTTGGCTTCGACTAAACTTTAATAATTTGCTTTCTTTGCTTTTCTCTTTCACAGTTAAGGATGTTAACGAACCAAATTTTTTTTGTTGATATTGAGCCAGTTTTTAAATCATAAGATTAAGTTCAAATTTGGTAAAATATGAAGAGTACTATTAAATGTATGGATCAAATTGTTATTTCTATTATTTTTTAAAAAAATTATTAATATATTTTTTATTATATTTTTCATCAATTATCAATAATTATTATATAACAAATATTTATAGAAAATGTATTGATAATTTTTTTAAAAAATAATAAAATAATAATTTAATTAGTAACTTTAACAGTATTAAAAAAAAACAGGTTGGAATTTTTTTTTTCTCCTTTCACTTACTTATCAAGTCTGGGGTAGATCACCAACTTAAAAATTATAGTCAGAAACTAAACGACTTTATGCCGAAGTGACAGTGAATTTCATCCTGGCAATCGCCACCCAAAGGGCACATCCATAAAAGGTGCTAATCGATTTTTTCAAGCCTGTGTCAGCTAAACCTATGGCAATGAGTTCACAAATCTTGACTCCATTCTGAAACACTGCAAGAGTCTGTCCATCGGATGGTGCAGAATAATCACTGCGAGCCTATAAGGGCTCCATATGTCCGCACAAAAAGACACATGTTCTAATTATAGAGAAGAACAAACAAAAACCTTTATCATGTACAGAATGTATAAACATTTAAATAAAATAACAATTCATACAGTGACAATAATAGTATCTAGCAAGATGCAAATAAATAAATAAATAAGAAAGTAAAAAAAATCCCTCCAAATAAAATACAAAAGATATGTCATGTGAGCTGTGATGATGGAGTAATAATAAAAAATGCAAGCTAAGCGAACGTGAGGAATGATTCGTTTCTCTGACCGCAAATGTTACTTTAAAGATAGTTTGACCAGGAACAAAAGCTTGGCCTTTGAATTTAAATGTTTCATTATTAGTTGGCTTTTAGTTTTACTGTTGAAGATGGGAGCACACTCCCGCCGAACACTCTGCCAATAATCTCCATTTTCACTTGGAAACATTGAAAAAAATATCTCTTTTTTGTGACTTTGCTTAGTGTAAAAGCACTTTTAACAGTGCGTCTAGCCGGGTTTTGAGGCCACCTTTGGTCTTACCTAATCTCCTTTCATGTGGGTTTTGCTTGTCATGCAGTTTGGTTAATTGGTGGGGTGCTTTGTTGTTCGGTCTGTATCCTCTGAGCCACTACCAGACAACCATTTGTGTTACATGTGGCCATAGCTTCCGGAGGTTTGGAGGTGGCAATTCTACTAGTGACGGGATCTTGTTTCTTACCTAATCTTCTTATCTTATCCCATTTGATGTTTAAAATATGATTTGAATTTTGGTTTGAATTGGATTCATGTTATCTTGTCTAATTAACAGTTATCATGGTGGAATGTTATGGTTTATTTGGAACTTACGTAGAATTCCTTCTCGTGGGAAGTTTTGCATTCAAATATGATCCCAAGTAAATTATATACTACTCGAACTTTGGAAATGGTTCGTTATTTAGAGAAATTGTTAGTGCTGAACACCCGATTGTAACCCAAGGATGGTTCTTTTTGGTTACCACAATTCACAAAAATAAATAAATAAATAAATAATAAAATAAAATCCTCCCAATTTGTTGTTATTATTATTTATTGGATATTATTTAATATCTTCCTCATGAGTATTCTTAGCATAACTCATGAAAAAATAAATTAGAAAATGGATTAACTAGAAAAAGAATTGAAGTTAAATAGGAAGATGATTGTTGTAAAATTAAAAAGGAAAAATATCTTCTTTTTTTATTTTGTTTTTAGCTAACATATTCATATATAAAAAAAAAAAAAAGGTTTTTTATATTCGTTTGATGAATTCTATAAAGTACTATAATTTTCTCTAATATTGATTGTTAGTTACTACGGTTAGAGAAAATTATAGTGTTTAAAGTGACAATCTCATATAGTATTGAATTTTATAAAAATACAAAGATTTTGCATATATTAAATTTTTATAATGAGACAAATTTAGTTAGAAAGATAACTTATATTACTACCTATATTTTTGCTTTTCATGTTTACAAAGAAACTTGAGTGATTGTATTGTTTCTTGATTATAGCGGATTATTTCAAAATTGGTCCCATGATTTTTTTTTTCTACGATAGAGAGGATTTTCTATGTAAATTTGATGTCCTTATGATTGTGCTATTGTGATTAATTTATTTTTGTTCTAGATTATTTTGTGTTTGAATTAATTATCTTTTCACGAAATTTAATTTACCCGAGTGGAATAAAATTCATAATAGTAGTATTAGAGTTTTAGTTGGAATATTTGTATAAATTAAATGGAGGAAAAATATTTGACAATCATGATCAAACTGACAACTTCAAATTATTTGATTTAGAAGCCAATGATGGAGAATTTTTTTCTATATTATCATGATTTGTTTGATCCGATTGAATTAGGCAAACTCAAACCAACCGATGGCGTATAGAAACAAGAATATAGAAAAACTATTGGAACTCTCGGGTAGTGGGTAGATAATAGTACACAATGTATTAAAAAAAAATAGATGCCTAAGAACTATATAAAAAAATTAGAGATTATGTATGAAAGAAAAAGTGTAAGAAATAAAGCTTCTTTGATTAAGAAGCATCATGCGAATTTGAAATATCGATATGAAAGATCTATTGTTGAATACTTGAGTGACTTTCAAGATTTGATTGATCAGTTGATGACCATAAAACTAGTACTCTATGACGAGTTACAAGCAATATTGTCATTAAAAAGCCTTGCTAGATAGCTAAGAGATTTTAGTTGTGACACTTAGTAATTATGTTCGAGATGGAGTTTTATTATTTTTCATGGTTAAAGATAGCATGTTAAATAAAGAAACAAGATGAAGAGAAGTGGTAGCAATGGAAATATAAGCTCTTATCGTTGAAAACATGAGAAAGAGTAGGAATAAAGAATTTAGTTAGCATAATAAATCTAGAGATAAATCACAAACTAGTGATAGTTTTAAACGTTACTACTATCGAAGAGAAGATTGTGTTAGGAGAAAAAGCAAAGCATGAAAGAAAGAACAAGAAGAATATAAGAATTAGAAAGAAGATAATAGGAACACTATTGTAGTATTAACTTTCAAATTAGGATGTGTTGATGTTCTCACATAGAAATGACAAGTGTGTCTTTGTGTTGAATGAGTTGCTAGCTCAACTACTGCATATCATACTATTTTTAGGAAGTAATTTTTCACTATGTACAAAGTAGGAGACTTTGGAAAAACAAAGATGGATAATGATAGTTATGTTAGTGTTCTAGAAGTTGATGATGTGTGTATAAAGATATTTTCATATTGTACATTGATTTTGAAAAAAGCGCTACATGTATTAAATTTATGTCTAAAACTAATTTCTACTCATAACTTGGATATTGGCGAATACTACTATCACTTTAGTGGTAAAAAATAGAAATTCTTCAAGAGATTAAAGATTTTTGCTAGAAATAATATTTATGATAAATTATAAATGATAAAAATACGAGTTGATTAGACTTGAGAATAGACATAAAACTTCTCTAAAGTTGTGGTTTAGATGACATAATCAAATGAACGAAAAATAATTAGCTAAGAAGTTTTATATTATTTTTTCCAAAGAGATTATCACATATAGAGAAGTATCGAATGAAAAACATGAAATTGATATTGAGCCGACAATTGGTAATGATGATAATACAACGAAGGGAAGTGCTTAGCAGGGAAGCGGAACCCTATATTTCGGAATGTAGAGTTTTAAGTGAGTAGGTCTACTCGATCAATATTATTTTTTACTAAGAATTTCAGCTCTAATAATGTCTTATTGATGGACAAAATTAAAGACCTAAATAGCTTCCATAATATTATAATTTATGGTAAGGGTCAAGAATCAAATTTAAATGATTTGTGATGTCATTGACTTTGTAAGGTAAGGGATAAATAGTTGATGATGTTAAGAATTATTTTTTTTAAGATAAAGGTCTGCTGATATGTCGGCAAAGTTGATAGCTCGTAAGAAGAATAGATTGTTTGCCAATGTGGTTGACACTAACTCTAGATGATGAGTTAAGATTTTCTCCTTATGGACTAGAGGGGGAGATTTATTAGGTATATGTTATTGTCCAACTCATGAGTGATTTTAGCATAATCCATAAAGAAATAAATCAGGAACATGATAAATTAAGAAATGGATTAATCCAAAAAATGATTGAAGTTAAATAGAAAGAGGACTATCATGAAACTAGAAAAGAAAAGCCCTTTTTTTTTCTATTTAATTGATATATGCATATAAAAGAAAGAGTTTGTCTTTCTTTTGCTAACAATTTACAAATATAGTAATTGGAGAGGAAAAAAAAGTAACAGATTTTTTATATTCTTTTCACGGATTCTATAAGAAGAAAGCAAGAGATTTCGAAAAATGTCTCGCATGTAGCAAATTTATATCTCGAATCTAATTTCTACTCATAACTTAGATATTTTGAGATATTACTATCAATTTAGTGATAGAAAATAGAAATTCATCAAGAGATTAATGGTTATTGTTGAAAATAATATTTATGATAAATTATACAAAGCAAAAATACGAGTTAATCAGACTTGAGAATAGTGTAGTTAGACTTAAAATTTTGCTAAAGTTGTTGTCTAGAGGACATAGTCAAGTGAATGAAAAACAAATTGGTGACGAGTGTATAAAATATTTTTACATTGTACATAGATTTTGAAAAATGTCCGCATGTAGCAAATTTATATCTAAATCTAATTTCTACTCATAACTTAGATATTTTGAGATATTATTATCAATTTAGTGATAGAAAATAGAAATTCATCAAGAGATTAATGGTTATTGTTGGAAATAATATTTATGATAAATTATACAAAGCAAAAATACGAGTTAATCGAACTTGAGAATAGTATAGTTAGACTTAAAATTTCTACTAAAGTTGTTGTCTAGAGGATATAGTCAAGTGAATGAAAAAAAAAATTGGTGACAAGTGTATAAAATATTTTTATATTGTACATAGATTTTGAAAAATGTGTTGCATGTAGCAAATTTATATCTCGAATCTAATTTCTACTCATAACTTAGATATTTTGAGATATTACTATCAATTTAGTGATAGAAAATAGAAATTCATCAAGAGATTAATGGTTATTGTTGGAAATAATATTTATGATAAATTATACAAAGCAAAAATATAGTTAATCGGACTTGAGAATAGTGTAGTTAGACTTAAAATTTCTGCTAAAGTTGTTGTCTAGAGGACATAGTCAAGTGAATGAAAAAAAAATTGGTGACGAGTGTATAAAATATTTTTACATTGTACATAGATTTTGAAAAATGTGTTGCATGTAGCAAATTTATGTCTGAATCTAATTTCTATTCATAACTTAGATATTTTGAGATATTACTATCAATTTAGTGATAGAAAATAGAAATTCATCAAGAGATTAATGGTTATTGTTGGAAATAATATTTATGATAAATTATACAAAGCAAAAATACAATTAATCGGACTTGAGAATAGTGTAGTTAGATTTAAAATTTCTCTAAAGTTTCGTTTAGAGGACATAGTCAAGTGAATGAAAAAAAATTGGTGACAAGCGTATAAAATATTTTTACATTGTACATAGATTTTGAAAAATGTGTTGCATGTAGCAAATTTATGTCCGAATCTAATTTCTACTCATAACTTAGATATTTTGAGATATTATTATCAATTTAGTGATAGAAAAATAGAAATTCATCAAGAGATTAATGGTTATTGTTGGAAATAATATTTATGATAAATTATACAAAGCAAAAATACGAGTTAATCGGACTTGAGAATAGTGTAGTTAGACTTAAAATTTCTCTAAAGTTGTTATCTAGAGGACATAGTCAAGTGAATGAAAAAAATTAGTGACGAGTGTATAAAATATTTTTATATTATACATAGATTTTGAAAAATGTGCTGCATATAGCAAATTTATATATGAATCTAAT